GCAATACTCGCAGAGATGCTGCAGCTTGGCCCATACCCAGAGGCTTAGGGTTTAGGGTTTCGGGTTTGGGGGGCTCTTAACCATGACAAGCATTCTCATGCAATGCGGAAGAGGACTTCTTGTTTGGCTTTGGGTCTGCCCTCATGGGTTCTTAGTAGGGGTTTGTGGCATCAGGGCAGATCAGGGTCCCTATGACTATATACATATATATATATATGTATATACTCCTTTTAAGGGGCAATACTACTGTAGGGGGACGTCAAGTGCTGAATTCCCTAACTCACTACAAACTACAACGAACTAGTAAGCTGAACTAAGCTGTGCACCGAGGTTCTTTTCTAATTTAATCTGGCTTATACTTTAGGAACCATATGCTGGGACCTACAGCCACCGAACAACCCGAACCAGCTGAAAGCCCTTGAGCACCCACCAAAACCCCCGCTAAACCCTCTTTCCGGGACTGCACCGGAGGTACTTGTATTGGGGGGCTTTCTGAGCCGCCAGGCTGAAGAACGCCTTCGATCTTCCTCCGGCCAGCGCCATTCTGCTGGCGCCGCCCCTGGTCATGCTGCCCAACTTTTCGCTGCGCCCCATCAGGCCGGTCCCGTCGATGCGTGGACAGGAGGGCACGCCCTGGTTATGAGAAGAGTAGAGTTTGGGATGTTCCCCCCTATACTAACAGTCCTTCATAAGGCTCATAGTACCCCCTACAATAATCCTTATTAGGGACTGTTCGTATCTGTTAGTACAAGGCGGAACATGCCAAAGTAGGATAGAGTTATCCCCCCCTGAAAAAAGTGTGTCAACGCTGAGGGGTTCCAACGCACAAGGTTTACATGCGCGGCACGCACGCCCCTTCCCAGGCATTTGCTCGCATTTTGAACTGTCATCGTTTTTCTGGACATCTGGGTGCGCCAACTGGGTTCAGCAACTGTCGTCGCTGTTGGATGCCTGGGGTCTGCCAAAGGCGAAACCAGGTCTAGCACAGCTTAGAGGTTGGATGCGGGTGTTGTAATTCCCTCCCACCAATATTAACCCCTCCCCTACCCCACCCCGACCACACCCCTACCCCACCCCCTACCCCTACCTCCTCCCACTTTACCCCCCACCCCCTACCCACCTACCCCCTACCGTCGCGATCTAAGCTGAAGGGCGGAAACCCTGATAAGGCTCTAGGGTTTGCACTGCGTGGCCTTTAGGATGTTTAGGAGTGTTGGTTTTTCTCAAGCCTAAAGCCTAAACCCCAAACCCTCAACCCGAACCCACAAATCGAGAAGTGTACCAAGTCGAAACCCGAACCCAGGGGCGAGTCTTGGGTTCAAGAAAGGTTCGTTCTAAATTCGGGTTTAGGGTTTAGGGTTCAGGGTTTAGGGTTCAAGTGTTTATAAGGGCTTAAGAGTTTCAGGTTTAGGGGTTAGGATTTAGCCTGGGCCCTGTAAACCCTCAACCAGTTTCCGGAAGCTCACGCAAAGGGCCCCGAGATCTCTAGGTCTTTGTTCAAGGTATGTTTAATTTGAAGCCTCGCACCAGAAATACTATGTCCGAACAACCCTAAACCCTAAGCCCTAAACCCTAAACCCTAAACCCTAAACCCTGAACTACTCGGGAACCTTTAAGTTTACGGATCGCCTTACAGGCCTCCCTCCCGCTTATGGAATCCCCACTGCTCCACGCAAGACATGTTGCATTCAAGCCCTACCCAGAGGAACCTTTCTGCCAAGCGTAACTTCATGATTGGGTAGATGTACCCCTCTTTATGGGGACAAGTTTGCTCTATGGTATAAATATAAACCCTGAACCCTGAACCCTAAACCCTCGGCCTGCACGCAGGCCGTTGATCTCGGGTGGACTGGGCTTGGCCCTGATCGCCGGCACGCGCGAGCCGGGCCGCACCCAGGGACAGACAGGGGCATCGGGTTAGGGTTCAGGGTTCCGGGTTCAGGATTTAGGGTTAATTTAAGGTGTGGCAGTCACCAAGTGCGGTTTCAAGAAAGGCCTCGGGTTTCGGGTGTGTAGTTGCCCGCCCGCGCGCGCGCGTGCGCCTTTTCTTTCGATTTAGGGCACACTCCCTACCACGCGCTTGCACAGCTTACCCCCCACCCGAACTAGTTTCTCTTAGGGGTTTTTTGGTTCGACGCGCCAAAACACCCCTAGCAAGAGGGGGGGGGGGGGGCTTTTTTGGGTTTCTTGGGAGGTGCCTTGACTGGCCTCTGCCTGGGAGAATAGCAGGGCAGAGCCACCACGCGCGAGGGCAGTGCCCTGTCCAAGAGGCTCGAGCACCCATGTATATGGGCGGCGGTGCTTTTGCCAGTTTAGGGTTTAGGTTCAGGGTTTCAGGGTTTTGGGTTTAGGGTTCTAGGTAGGCCGCTGGAATATTTTATGTTTTTTCCCTTATAGTATTGGGGTTAAAAGGATCAATTTGAGGGATGCTTTTCAGTCCCAGGGTGTGTGGGTGACGGCACATGTCGTGATCCCGCGCCTAGGCCCTTGTCCTGTTCGCGGTGAAAACACCGTGGAAGCTGGAATTCTTGTACCCACAGTGAAGACATCACACAGGACACCACACAACCCGGAGGCTGCCATACCCATGATAGTTTACGGAATGTTCTATAAGTAAGGGGTATTGAAGTCCCTCAAAACATGACATCCCTTCACAATCGAGTCCCCGCGTCCCAGAATTGAGGAGTAGTCAGCCGAAATCAGAGAACTTGGAGAATTTCCCACTCCCAAAGAGCCCGTAAAAAAAAGGCAATTCAGGAAGATACCTTAAATCAAAATAAGGGCCCGTAAACGGTCTAAGGTATATTCCTTACTTGCCTAAGCACAGGCCGGCCAGCAAACGGTGCTACAGGGGTTCGAGTTCAGGGCAGGGATTGGGGGTTTAGGCGTTTAGGCCGGTGCAACCGTCAAGCACCTTGGCGTACTTTGATTCCCCCCCCCCCCCAAATCCCCAACACCGAAAGCTTCAATCCAACAGGACCCTGACGCCCTGGGCTCAAAGCAAGAGCCTCTCAACTCAAACCCAAATTTCAAATCGAGTGCCCTCAAGCTTCAACAAGCCCTACTGTTGGGACCCTATTTACCTGCAGTTTAGTAGTAGCTACCCTGCATTGGTAGGTGTAACCCAAAAAACTGTAGGTAAAGAGGGTCACAGGTTTCACCCTAAACCCCAAACCCTAAACCCTAAAACCCTAAACCCAAACCCTAAAACCCTATAATAAAACCCTAAATCACAGGTGTCACCCTAAACCCCAAACCCTAAAACCCTAAACCCCAAACCCTAAAACCCTATAATAAAACCCTAAATCACAGGTGTCACCCTAAACCCCAAACCCCAAACCCTAAACCCTAAAACCCCTAACCCCTAAACCCTAAACCCTAAACCCCGGCTACAGCCACCCAGGGGACGAGTACTGCGACGCAGAGCAGCTCCGCGAAGTCCACCGCGAGCGCCACAGCAGAAGGTTGGTTGGGGGGCCCTCATCCTCCGAGGGTTTAGGGTTTAGGGTTATAGAGTTTAGGGTTTAGGGTTTAGGGTTATGTGTGTGTGGGGGTTGCGAGCGTAGAGACAGGTCCCCAGCGAGCGCTGTAGGGTATAGGGCCCAAAACCCTAAACCCTTAATACGATCTTAATAAGTACGACGGAAACTTCCTTAGGTCACGATGAGGGTGGTTGGGTCCCATTCCACAGTACGGCACCTTATAGCAAAGGATTAGAGAATTAATCATGAAGATCGTTTTGGGATTCCTGGTCTATTTTAATTTCAGCCTTCCAGCTTTCAGGCCTGATATACCTGGGGTAAACATGTAGAACAGAAGTCTGTAGTAGACCCTTCGTGCCCCAGAAAGCAGGGAGAAAGACCGTAAACCCTCACCCCCAAACCCTAATTAAGCCCGAAGCCCTAAACCCCAAACCCTAAGCACTAAATTCCCACCGGCCTGCCTAGGCTGTACCCACCCCTTTGTATGGTGCCTGGACCCAGAACTACACCCGGCAGTCCAGACACACCTTTACTGGATAGACAATGGGTGGAGCCATTGGATAGTGGTCGAATTCAGCCCTTTGGGCTGCGCGTTGCAATAGGACCACTTTCGTGGTGCCTTCTACTCACAAAGAGAGCCCCCACGATCCTCCTCTTGATGAGAATACCCTAAAGCCGAGTCTGGATTTTTGTGTTTGTTGCCGTCCTGGCCCCCCCAGAAGAATTCAGGGCGACAGCCCTAAACCCTAAAAGGCAGTGGTTTGGGTGGTGGCCTGTGAAAGCTCACAGCGGGCGGGTGGAACGAAGCCAACACCAATGAAAATTGTTGGACTGCATTGAATATAAATGCCTTCGCTTACTGGCGCCGCGCGCCGAGGCGCCCTAAACCCTAAACCCTAACCCTAAACCCTAAACCCTAAACCCTAAACCCTAAACCCTAAACCCTAAACCCCTAAACCCTAAACCCCGAAACCCCTAAACCCTAAACCCCAGACCCTAAACCCTAAATCCGAGGCTTCAAGACTCTGAAGCTCCTCCACGGCTGGAGTTGATCGACGGCTGCGACGCTTCCTCCGCCTTAGGGTTCGGGGTTTAGGGTTCAGGATTTAGGGTTTAGGGTTCAGGATTCAGGGTCTAGGGTAAAGGGTTTACGGCTTAGAGGCTTTATGGTAGCTCCCTAAGACATTCTGTCATTTTTAGTTGAACCGCAAGGGACTTCTCAACATATTGTTTATGCTAAGGTGCTATAGTTTAAGGCTTAGGGCCCATGGGTGTGCAGGGTTTAGGGCAGGGATGTTTGAAAGGGAATGTATATTGGAACTGATACATTTGATGTGCGCCTCCAATTCAGATTGCATGCCTTTGGATTGAGGATTTCGGCTTTTGGGTTAAAGGTTTAGGGTCTATGTTTAAGGGGCTTGCGGGATGTAGGTTTTTCTGCTGACCTCGAGCTCAGGCACGGAAGAGCATTTTCCTGCCCTCAATCCCAAAGCCTCGAAGCGCTGAACCCTTCCTTTCATGGCTCCTTTGGCATCTTTTGTCTTTCCCATGGCCAGTGGCCACACGAACCCAGCCCTCCCACTGGCACGGCGCCTGGTGAATTTGGGCTGGGATGTGCGCTTCGTAAGCTTCCCCGCCTTCCGCGAGGCCGTTGAGGACACAGGGGCCCTCTTCGTGGACGGCCACGCCTTCAATGACCCTTCAACTTCAGAATTCGTTGAACTCCACGGTTTCGACTCGAGGCTTTCATTGGTTGTGGCCATGTGTAGTGCCATTCGCCTGGAGAGGGCAGCCGAGAAGTTGCTGGGCTACTTCCGGGAGACGAGGCCTGAGTTGGTGGTTTACTGCCCCCACCTCTCGGCCTACGCCCACCTGGTAGCGCGGCACTTGGGCATCCGCAGCGTCAGCCTCCTGACTTTGCCTGGCCCAGGTAGCATGGAGAAGATCGCAGAGACCTGTGGCCTCAGCAGTGCCGAGGTCTGTAGTCTGCTGGCCCAGAACCCTCCTCAGCTGGAAGCCCTGGCGTGCTTGAAGACGAAGCTGGAGCTCCCGGATTTGTCTTTGAATACCGTGCCTCCGCTGCACCGAGACCACTACTCGCAGCTGAACCTGGTCACCACCACCGAAGTCTTGGCTGATGACTGGAAGGAGGACGCGGCCCTCTACGCCGCTGAAGGCAAGACCTTCGCGTTTGTGGGCCCTCTGATCGACATCCCTGGCGCGAAGCGCTGTGCTGGTCATAGCAATCAGAAGGAGGCAACGGAGGCGAGCGAAACGCTCCCGAAGCGACTCCCCAAGCTCCACCGTGTTTGTAGTGCTGTGGATGAGGTCTTCCCACAAGAGGCCTTGGAGGAAGCTGTGGCCGCTGGCCGTCAGCTCGTCTTGGTCTCCTTGGGCACAGTGACTTCGTTGCTGAGTGAGTACACTTTACACTTCTTGGGATACTATATAGATTCCCCTATAGAACTGAATGTGTACACTTTTTTAGGGCTTATGAACTCAGCAACTAAGGTGATCACCGGAGATAGTGGGAACCACGGATGGCTGGCAAGGGATGGCAGCGCTATCACAGGCAAGGAGATGTGCCAGTCGGTCTTCCGCGCAGTCTTTCAGGCGCTTGGCCAGCAGACTGATGAGGGGCCGCTGCTACTGGTGGCTGTTGGTCCGCAAGAGGATGCGCTGGAGGGTATTGATGTGCCCCTGAACTCAATCTGTCGCAACGTCCTGCCGCAAGTGGACATCTTGCGCCAGAAGCCCGTAGTGTTTGTGACTCATGGGGGGCAAAACTCTTTTATGGAGAGTATGTTGGTTGGGACGCCGCTCGTGGTGTGTCCCGGTTTCGCAGATCAGCCGGCGAATGGTGCCAAAGCGCAGGCCATGCAAGTCGGTCTGTGCGTAGACAGGCCTGACAAGGAGGAAGAGGTGGCCAGCTACCAGACGAGGGTGGCCGAAGCCCTGCAACAGGTCCTGGAGATTCCGAGCTTCCGCGATTCAGCGGAGCGTGTTGCCGAAGGCCTCCATGCAGCGGGCGGTGTTGACAGGGCCATGCAGCTGCTCATTGGCAATGAACAAAACTAGGCCCTAGGCAGATCTGTGCGCTGACCCATGAGGGGGCGCAGGAGGACCCTGATCCCAAAACCCTAAACCCTAGACCCTATACCCTGGAATCCAGATGTAGGGCGGTGTACAGAGCGCTCCAGATTCTCTCGTCTTTTGCTTTCCAACTTTTGTCGCCCTGAGCTGAGACATGAGAAGGTAGAGGACGATCGTGGCCAGTCAAAACGAAAGCCATGAAAGCCAGTCGGCAACAAGCAATTGGGGTACATGTTCGTCACAAGATGCTCGACATGATGATTTACCATTGATATTCACCGGTGTGAGTTCGTCTCGCAGAATACCACAGGATCCCTGACTTGACAATGTGAAGACCAATGATGTGCCACTGCATGTCTGGCATGCTTCTAGCCTCGAAAGCAATTGTCGTGTGTTGTTTCTTTTTCTGAGAAGTCATTGCTACAACCGGTCACCTTATATAAGTTCGCATACATGGTTCCCAAGTACTGTTGCGTATTCCATTGAGTTTTTCTGAAACGACAGCATAATTTTGCCAAACACTGCCCTTTCAAGTAACATACTGATATAAAGAGACGGAGGAACAACGAAGAGAGAGAGACGGAGAGAAGGTGAGAGAGATGTATGACAGACCGGCAAAAAGAATGGCATGGCGAAAGATATTCGGACAAACCAAGAAATAGCCACATGCTAAACAATGCGGGCAAGTCGCGTGGATTTTACTTCCATGGTGGATATTTCCAGTGCTAATGACACGAGCATGCAGCATACCCTTGGACAATGATGCGGTTAATACTTAAGTGGCTCGACAAGTACATTGCGCCCCGATGTTTAGGGTTTAGGGTTTAGGGGTTTAGGGGTTTAGGGGTTTCGGGGTTTCGGGGTTTCGGGGTTTAGGGGTTTCGGGGTTTCGGGGTTTCGGGGTTTCGGGGTTTCGGGGTTTAGGGGTTTAGGGGTTTAGGGGTTTAGGGATCTGGCACTTGTTTCTGTTGCGGCCCAGATGGTTTGAGCATGTGCCAAGTGCGGCTTCGCCCTGGCGATTGTAGCTTTCCTAAAACCCCGAAACCGGGGTGGTTGCATTTATTGGGTCATGCCTCAACCCTAAACCCTAAACCCCAAACCCCAAGCCCTAAACCCTAAACCCTAACCCCTAAACCCTGTTCGCATGACCTGGGTCCATCGCCCATTTGCCCTGTGGGCCTGCCGTATCCAGAGAGTGTACTGCGCCCTAAGACCCTCAAACCCTAAAACCGAACCCAAACCCAAAATCTGGGCCCTTAGTATGGTCCCTTAGCCTTGTTTACAAGGATTCAAAGGGATCCGAAGTATGGGCTTTTATTATCTATAGTATAGTTTGGGGTTCTTCAACAGGGGACCCAAATTCAGGGCCCATACTTCGGATTCCCTACAAAAACCCTAAAACCTAAACTCTCCTAGGCCCTAGACCCTAGACCCTAAACCCGAAACCCGAAACCCTGATGGTGCTCAGGACCACTTCTTCGGGCAGCCGCGTCACCTTGCAGCGGCTGTCGATGCTGCCGTGCAGGTGTCTATCTCCCAGAGAGTCAGGGTTTAGGCTTTAGCTTTAGGGTTTAGGGGTTTAGGGGTTTAGGGGTTTGGGGGTTTGGGGGTTTAGGGGTTTAGGGGTTTCGGGTTTAGGGTTTAGGGCTTAGTCCCTTAAAACCCCGTAACAAAGGACTAGGCCTGTAAACTATATAGGAATGCTTAGTATGATTTACAGGCATGTAAAACCCTTTAACAAAGGAATAATATACCCCTAAACCATATAGGAATGCTTACTCGGATCTCAGGAATATTCACTAGAATTTACAGGAACGTAAAGCCTCTTAACATAGCAATACGCCCTAAACTTTTTGGGGAACTCTTACTAGGATTCCTAAACCCTAAACCCTAAACCCTAAACCCTAAACCCTAAACCCCAACTTAGCTATCATTCTCATTACAGGAACCCTGCGGGCATCGGGTGTTCCAAGCTTATGGTGTCCTGCAACCCAAGCTTACGACTTTGTACACTGAGTTATGAGCATTCCTATTCTTACCGTTGTCGCACTATTTCTAAACCCTGAACCCTAAACCCTAAACCCTAAACCCTAAACCCTAAACCCTAAACCCTAAACCCTAAGCCTCTACGTTTCAGGGTTTAGGGCTTTAAGCCCTATTGGCATTCGGTGCCACTTGGGCGCCGAGTTGCGATGGGCTTCGACTTTGACAGGCTCATGGCGGACCCCAGGCCCCCCCAATACCCCTTAAGGGTTTAGGGTTTAGGGTTTAGGGTTTAGGGTTTAGGGATATAAGAGTGTTCCTTAAGTGGTTATCTGGTTTAAGGACGATTCCTTAATTGAGGGGTGTTACAGGAGTCTCCGGGGACATGCTTCAAGAAGGTTCGGAGTGCACCTACAATTCGTGAGTTTGAGATCGCGGCAGAAGAGCATGGAACTTCGGATGGGTTTAGGGTTTAGGGTTTAGAGTTTAGGGTTTAGGGTTCATGGGTTCAGGGTTTAGGTTCAGGGTTTAGGGTTTGGGGTATGGGGTTTGGGTTTAGCGGACCCCCTGCCCGAACCTCTGAATCACGAATCCCCCATAGCGAGCCCTAAACCCTGAACCCTGAACCCTTAACCTTTATAAACCCTAAACCCTAAACTCTAAACCCTAAACCGAGGCCCTAAACCCTGAACCCTGAACCCAGAGAGCTGCCAGTGCTGCGCCTGCCACTGAAAGCGACATTTCGCGCGCAGCGCGTGCATCATTCACCCAAATCATCATTCGAATCAGATACCCAGAGAGCCATAGAGAGCCCAATACCCCTTCATTAGCTAAGGAATATGCCCTTAAATCATACTAAGGATGCCTATGTGCTTTAAGGTATATTCTTAATTCTAGGGTATTGGGCTCTTGCTTACTTGAAGGTTCATTTTACTTACTAACCAGTTATACTTGTACTTATAACCCTACTTATAATACCCCTAAAGGGCTGATTGGGGTTATCCCAATTATAGGTAGGGTTATAAGTACAGTTATAATTGGTTAGTAAGTACCATGAACCTCCAAGTAGACCCCAAAGCCACCCCAAAAATGAGCTTTTCGGCTTCGGGGAGAGATCCTCGGAGACGACGATGTCTGCAAACCTCTTGCCCTATGAACCCTAACCCCTAAACCCTAAACCCTGAAACCCTTCGGAAGGTGGTGGCACATGCGGCTACGGGAGGGCCCCGCCAGGCGCCGCTTTGAGCACGCTGGGCCGGCAGCGAGAAGAAAGAGCAAGTCTTGTGTGGCATATTATGGGGCTTAGGGCATTGTCTACGCTTCGAGATAGGGCATTACTTCGTCAACCCCATTAAGGACACCGTCAGGTGACCAGAACCCAGAGACTCCAAGACCCCCGAATTCAGGAATATGCCTTCAACTTAGACCATACGATATTTCTCTTATATGTTAAGGAATATTCCTCAAGCCGTATAAGGAACCCTCTCATATTTTAAGGCTATATTCCTTACTTAAGGGGTATTGGAGTCCCTACCAGAATTGAAAGGTTACCCTAGCAACTAGAATACCCCTATCAGTGTTCAAGATTAAAACAAATTTATATATGAAGTTGCTTTAGTTCTACAATCGAATGTACTCTCAGCATCATGACCCCTATATGGTTTAAGGTCTGTCCCCTTTCGTAAGGGGTATGGGCGTGTCTGGGGAGGGTTTGACCCCCTTCATCAAGGAACAGAGCTCATGAAGTCCATGTTGACTTTAATTTTGCACTTTTGCTATCATAAGATCCCAATAAGGACTCAATATGATAATTTTTGATATCACCCCAACCGGCACCCAGTTTGGGCTTTATGTCTCCCCTTAAAGTGGTGCCGAGGCCTCGCCACAGGATCTTCCCTGTACTGAGCTGCCTGCGGAACCTGAAGGAGAGGGGTGGAGCATATCTTCGGTAGACCCTGCACTGCATCCTGACGTTGACATGCCACGAACCCCTAACCCAAACCCCAAACCCCAAACCCTAAACCCTAAACTCCCACTACTTGCAGTGCCTTGTGCTTGCCTAGTTTCATGGCAACACTTCGCAAGGGACCGCAGAAGCCATGTGATCCATCCTAACGCAGACAGCCGCAGGAGAGAGGAAGGTCGTCCACGCAGGCAGCGTTGGAAGTTCGGTCTTACGAACTTGAGGGGAGCATGATATGGTAGAGACTGGGACAGGGCAGCGGCTTGTGACGACCCTAACATGTCCTTTGGCCTGCCAGCAATGCCAGCAACGTTGCACAGCGGAATCCGAGAGCCTCCAACCTCCGAATTTCGTGCGGCTCAAGCTCGCACGAAGGCCAAGAGGCCAACCGGTTTGTGCAACCACCTTGACAGGATCGCACGACGCTAATTCTCACCCTTGAATTCACTTCTTCATGGCGCCATCACTGTCAGGCTTTAGGGCTTTGGGTTGTCTTGTTTTCGTGTTTCCTTGGCGCTTCGCAACTCTTTTGTCCATTGTCGCTGCAATGGATGAGTCCGGCGTCCCGCGATTTTTCGGGCAGGAAGGCATGGCTGACCAGGGACCCTTCGGACCCCAAGGCGCCCTCGGACCTCGTGGAGGTAGTGCCGGCAGCTTAGTAGCCGAGTGAGTACACTTTACACTTTTTGGGATGCGATAATCCCCTATAGAATCTATAGAACCGAAGAGTCTGCACTTTTTTGGGGCTCATGAACTCAGCAACTAAGGCAGTGCCCCAGCCATCCCCAGCCCAAATCATCCGTGGAACTACCTCAACGAGATCGCCACTCTACTCGCGCAGTCGCAGCGTGATGGTTTGACAGCTGGCGTGCCCAACGCAGCCGACATGGCAGCTTTGCAAATTTTTTTAGACAACATCCGGAAAGCTGGTGGTCTACCGACTATGCCGGGACAGGGCTGGCAGCCTCCGATGGCTGAGCCCTGGCCGCTTGGCCGCACTTTTTGTTGCACGTTTTTGGTTCAAGCTCCCCTCCTAAAGTAACAAACCTGCCACCCTTTATGATAATACCCCTTAACCCCAAAGTAACCCAAAGAAGGGTACCCTTTCTTGTTATATGGTTACTGTACTATAAATAAGCAGGGCCGCCTTGCCATACGGACCCCAAAAAGGACAGTAATTTCGAGAAATCACCCTCTGTTGGGATGTTCCCCCTTGTACTAACAGTCCATAATAGGGAGTCTAGTACCCTCTATTATAGTCCCTATTAAGGACTGTTAGTACAAAGGGGAACATCCCTAAACCCCAAACCCCAAACCCCAAACCCCAAACCCCAAACCCCAAACCCCAAACCCCAAACCCCAAACCCCAAACCCCAAACCCCAAACCCCAAACCCCAAACCCCAAACCCCAAACCCTAAACCCTAAACCCTAAACCCTAAACCCTAAACCCTAAACCCTAAACCATATGCTTGCGGGGCTACCAAGGCCATGTCCCAGTCCACAAAGGCTTGTGCCGCCGGAGGTCGCCGGCCCTTTCGCTGGACTCACAGAGGTGCAGCAAGGGTTTAGGGTTTGGGGTTTAGGGTTTAGGGTTTGGGGTTTAGGGTTTAGGGTTTAGGGTTTGGGGTTTAGGGTTTGGGGTTTAGGGTTTGGGGTTTAGGGTTTAGGGTTTAGGGTTTGGGGTTTGGGGTTTAGGGTTTGGGGTTTGGGGTTTAGGGTTTGGGGGGTTTGGGGTTTGGGGTTTGGGGTTTGGGGTTTGGGGGTGGGTTTGGGGTTTGGGGTTTGGGGTTTGGGGTTTAGGGTTAGGGTTTTGGGGTTTAGGTTTGGGGTTTGGGGTTTTAGGGTTTGGGGTTTGGGGTTTAGGGTTTAGGGTTTAGGGTTTGGGGTTTAGGGTTTAGGGTTTGGGGTTTAGGGTTTGGGGTTTGGGGTTTAGGGTTTGGGGTTTGGGGTTTAGGGTTTGGGAATTAGGGTTCCAGTCAGAGGTGCAGCAAGTCCAGGGCCCTCACTTGGCAAAGCTTGCCGAATTCTTTCACATGCTTCTTGGTAGCTGAGTGGTACCCTTTTCTGCCCTCTTCCCTGAAAACACTAGCCAACACCAACAAGGGGGTACCCTTATTATAATGTGGTTGCTGTGCTACCAAGGCTTGAAGAGCAAGAAAAGGCACGTGCTATCATTGAAGGCAGCACCCGGACATGTGAACAGCAGGCACTTGCCCGCATGCTACAGGAGTCACGTAGCTCCTTGCAGCAGCTGCGACGCCCGGTAGCCCAGTGGTACACTTCTGCCCCCCCCCCTTTTTTCTGTTTTCGGCTCCCCTACTTATACAAAAGTAGCCAACCCCAAGAAGGTACTCACCCTATACCCCAAACCCTAACCCCAAACCCCAAGCCCTAAACCCTAAACCCAAGGACAAATGCAGCAAATGCAGCAGCTTCAGCAAATGCAGCGTCAGATGTCGGAGCTTGCGCCCAAATTGCAGCAGATGCAGGAGATGGTCAACCGCTTCGTGGCGGCCCAGAGATACCCTTTCTCTTTTTGTTGGTTCAAGGTTCCCTTACAAAGTACCCAACCCCGCAAAAAAAGGGTGCCCTCATTATGATAGGGTTACTGGGCCACCAAGAAGGCTTCGTGGCGGCAACCTATTTGGCCCAGCAAGTGCCGCAATTGCAAACTCCACCCTTCTCGCCCTTGCCCTCGACCTTGCCCTCGCCCTTGCCGTCGCCCTTACCGTCGCATGTTCACACTCCCGCTCCCGGTCTGCAGTGGCCGGGCCACTCCGACTCCAATCCTTTCCAAGCTACCTTGGAGTCCCTGGCCAACCACGGTCACTTTGGCATGCATGGCTCAGTAGCCACAGGAAGCCCCCATGCAGACAAGGAAGCACGGGCACAGACTCGGACGGACGGCCGCAAGAAGAGCACTCCCAAGACCCAACGGAATCTTCCTAGCTGAAGATGAGTACACACTTTGCACTTTTTGGGATTCTACAATCCCCTACGGAACTGAAAAGTGTACAATTTTTTTTTGGGGGGGGGGCTTATGAACTCAGCAACTAAGGAATGGTTGGATGAACATGGAGCCCGAGGAGATAACGCAATCGCCATCCCCGCCTTCGAGCCTTTGTTGTAGAGTAGGTAACCCCCGAAACCCTAAACCCTAAACCCTAAACCGTTTCACCTTTTTGGGGTAATAGAATTCCCTTATATTCCGCAAGGTTGACCTTTAGTCCCCCTAGGTACTGGACAAGTAAGGAGCTCCACGGATCGGGACAAGAAGAGCACTTTGGGAATCACAGCAGCCCAGTGGTACCCCTTTCCCCGTTAGGGTTTAGGGTTTAGGGTTTAGGGTTTAGGGTTTAGGGTTTAGGGTTTAGGGTTTAGGGTTTAGGGTTTAGGGTTTAGGGTTTGGGGTACCCAAAAAGGGTGCCCTTGCTATAATGTGGTTACTCGGCTAGCAAGGAATGCATCTGACGCATCTGCAGAGCGAAGACCCGAAGTGTGTGTTCATCACACGACGGATCAACGGCATGGGCTTCCAATCAAAGGACATTTTGCACGCCTTCTACGGACAGTACGGCAAGGTGGTGAAGGTGCTCGTCGCCCACTCCAAAGTCAAGCCGTTTCGTCGACAGGGTGCGCAAGCGCGAATTCGGCCCGGTAGTCTTGGTTTCGTCGTCATGGACTCGCCGGATGCCAGGTAGGCTTGTAGGACGCACTTTTGATCTTCCCGCTTGTTACTTGGGCCTAGGAGAGGGCCTTGGATGGAATCAGGGGTTTAAACCCTAAACCCTAAACCCTAAACCCTATGAAGCGCCAGCCAAGGAAGCTGTTGAGAAGATTTTGGCGGTTGGGACGAACCACAAAGTGGCCGGCCACATGATCAGTGTGGAGCCCTTCGAAACTGAGCAGCCGATCAAGAGTTTAGGGTTTAGGGTTTAGGGTTTAGGGTCTAGGGTCTAGGGTCTAGGGTTTAGGGTTTCCATACATTCCATGTACTCTCTCTTCTATTTGGGGTTTTATTTGGGGTTTGTGCTTTGCCGTGAAAAAAAGTGCATGAATAACTAAGTACACAAACAAATAAATAAACAAATAAATAAATAAATTTAAGATATATATATATATGTACACACGCATATACGGATTCTTTTTTTTCGGGGCGGGGGGGGGGGGGGGGGGGGGGGGGAGTTTCAATCGATTTCCTACCTAAGCCCAATTAAGATAACCTTCAGCTCTTTCCCCCGCAATCCCTACTTGGAGGTTCATGGGACTTAAGAACCACTTCTAACTGAGCTTATAACCCTACTTAGAACACCTCTAAAGGGCCTTATAGGGGCTATCCCAATTATAAGTAGGGTTATTAGCCCAATTATAAGTGGTTAGTAAGTACCATGAACCTCCAAGTAGCCCCAAAGGGAACCTGGACAAGTGAGGAACGGATCCCTAAACCCTAAACCCTAAACCCTAAACCCTAAACCCTAAACCCTAAACCCTAAACCCTAAACCCTAAACCCTAAACCCTAAGCGAACCTGGACAAGTGAGGAGCGGATCGCCAAGCCACAGGATTCTTCGGGCCAATCCGCGGATTCCACAACCACCGGAGAATCAACGACCACAGGTGGCTCTCGCTCAGGAGGATCAGGCTCAGACAAGAGTCTCGGCTTAGGGTTTAGGGTTTAGGGTTTGGGGTTTGGGGTTTAGGGTTTAGGGTTTAGGGTCTAGGGTTTAGGGTTTAGGGTTTAGGGTTTCGGGTTTAGGGTGAGTTCCGGGTTCAAAGGGTGGGCTCTGTGCTTTTCTGCGAAACGGGGAGGAGGGGTAGCAAAGTCATAGGAAAAGCCCAAGGCGAATCGGCCAGCCCTAAACCCTAAACCCCTTAACCCCTAAACCCGAAACCCTACACCCTAAACCCTAACCCCTACAACTGGACAAGTAAGGAGCTCATCCGGCAGTGCCAACGGCATGGGTGACCCCAACGGCTCTGAGACTTGGTAGCCCAAGGGTGCCCTTTTCTGCCTTTTTTTGCTGGGCTCAAGGCCCGCTCTAGCCCTAAACCCTAAACCCTAAACCCTAAACCCTAAACCCTTCATAACTGGCCACTTGGCCGACCAAGGACAAGAGTTCTGCAGGCCTGGGCGAAAGTGGTTCCGGTGGTTCCGAGGAGGGCTCCGACAAAGGCAATGGGTTTTCAGCAGCTTGGTTCTATTTGCCCCTATCGGGTTTAGGGTTTAGGGTTTAGGGTCTAGGGTTTAGGGTTTAGGGTTTAGGGGTTCATCTTTGGGAATGCTTGTCAGAGGGTTTTTAAAGGGCCATCCTCGCAAAGTCATTTATGTTGGTGTCCAGTGGCACCACTTTGTTTGTTTTTTGGTGTTCAAGGTCCCCTTACAAAGTAAGCAACCCCCCAAAAACAAGGGGTGCCCTTATTGTAATGTCCTTTGAAGTCTCCACCCCCCCCCAAAAATGGGGTGCCCTTGAATTCTAAGATGGTTTTCCTGCTACCATCTAAGGGTAGTCCCATGGGCCCCTGAACCCCCAAACCCCCAAACCCCTAAACCCCCAAACCCCTAAACCCTAAACCCTAACCCCCAAACCCTAACCCCTAAACCCCAAACCCTAAACCCCTAAACCCTAAACCCCCAAACCCCTAAACCCTAAACCCCCAAACCCCCAAACCCCTAAAACCTAAACCCTCTCTACCATATATATATATATATATATATATTTTTTTTTATTTATTTTTTTAACCTTAATTGAATTTTAGAATTTGGCCGCTTCTTTTTCAGAATTTGGCCGCTGTATCTTTATTTTCAGAAATTGGCCGCTTAGTCGTTTTTTGTTTCAGAATTTTGTCCGCTTTTTTTGTTTTCAGAAATTGGCTGCTTAATTTTCAGAATTTGGCTGTTTTTTGTTTTTCTGAGTTTTGCTGTTTTTTTTTTTCAGAATTTCGCCGTGTTTTTTCCCATAATTTGGCCGTTTTTTTTTTCAGCATTTGACCGCTTTTTTTCAGAATTTGGCCGTTTTTGGCTTTCTCAATGTTATGGGATTCTCTAGGCGAGCCGTAAATACAGCTTTGCCATAAAACTGCTCGACCTGGAGTGCTGAACCTTAAGCCCTAAACCCTAAACCCTAAACCCTACCAAGGCAGATGGATCACAGCCCAAGGCCGAGGGGAGCCAGGGCAGTTCGGAGGACTCGAGCCCGGGAGATGCCGATTCCCAGTCCGAGTCCAGCAACTTAGTAGCAGAATAGGGTGTAGGGTTTAGGGTGTAGCGTTTAGGGTTTAGGGTTTAGAGTTTCGGGTGCTATAGGACAGAAAGCCTGCACTTTTTCGGGGGGCTTATGAACTCAGCAACTAAGGCAACAGGGCGGCGTCCCCTGGTACCGGTCGCAAGAAAGAAGCTCGCTGGGTTTAGGGTTTAGGGTTTAGGGTAGGCTCAACTGGGGTCTTTGCTATTGCTGCCCCTTATTGGTTGGGATGTTTTCCCCTTATAATAGCAGTTTTGAGCAGGGATTTCAACGGGGTGATAGGGCGGCGTCCCCTGGTACCGGTCGCAAGACAGAAGCCAGGTAGGCTCTTGGGATCTTTTACTACTTACCCTTGTTGGGTTTTGCAGGCTCTTGGGATCTTTTGCTGTTGTCCTTATTATTTTTTTTTTTGGGGGGGGGGTACGAGGATCCCCTTCAGGAAGATTGTTTTCAGAGGTTTTTCCTGGCGCCATCCTAGGAGACTTTCGGCGAAGGAGTTCTACCCGGTGAAGCAGAGAAGGCCGACAGTTGATGTGTTCATTGCGCTGTTGAGTTCATTCTCAACAGGCAAAAGGGGCTTGATGCCCTGGCAGAATGCCACTGTATCCTCATAACCTCTGGGCTGGACCATCCAGACGTACAGCTGAAAACATGCTTGCCTTTAAGATGGCTGTGAGCGCTGGCCCGGCAAAAGCGCAACCGTCCTGTGACGTTCAAAAATATCAGAGACCTCTGCGTCCTTGCCGTCGGAGACGGGCCAGCGAACAGCACTGTGAACGAAGCCAAGCTGCGCTTGGATCGCCAGCTGCGGCTCCTGTTTCAAGAACTTTTTGCCCTAAACCCTAAACCCTAAACCCTAAACCCTAAACCCCAAACCCTAAATGGACATAGCAATCGGGGAAGAAGAACCAACCTCAAGCTCCACCCTTACCTCGTGTGTCCGACTCTGCCCACTGCGAGAGAACGTGCGTTGCCATCAGGCTCCTAAGCCCTGAACCCTAAACCCTAAACCCTAAACCCAGTGTAGCTTTGACTTTCGATTTGGCAGTGCCTGACCGGGTTTGGCCTGGGATTTCGGATGCAGAACCTCAGAACGCCTAGTTCCTTGTGGCAAGTTCACAGAGAATCAGACAATCCCGTCTACACAGTAGACCGGAGCTACGCTCCATTTTTTAATCTGTCAATATGGGCCGAGCGGTTCTTGTGACAGGCGAACATGAGAGCCACGAGAAGTAACATAGCATCATATCTCTAAACTTCTAAACCCTAAGCCCTAAACCCTAAACCCAAAACCCTCAGCTTTGCTGCTGTGTTTAAGACGGCCCGCAAAGAGTGACCTGCTAGGTTGGAGAGTGGATGTACCCGGTCTGACACCCCAAGGCCCCGCACAAGCAGACGGAAGGATCAACTGGCGTAAGGAGGTTCATTTGGGTGGCTGTAAGGTGGGGTTATAAGTACCCAAAATAGGGTTCACAAGTATAGTTACCACATGCTTATATACGCTACTGCTAACTACCCGTGAACCTCCGAGTAGGTAAGGAGCTTAGTTTGGGTTTACTGCTTGGGCCTCGCAAGATTGTGTTTGACAGAGGTCCGGCCGTCCACGTCTAGCGCAACTTTTTGGTGACGCGTGCGAACAAGGGCCGGAGTGCGGACCAACTGGCCACAGCCAGAAAGCAGTGCCACTGTACCACTCGATGTCGCTCGAGATTCACCTACTTTCAATGTTCCTATCCATGATTTTTTGTTGGGAACTTTTTGGAGAAACTTTTTGGAGGCAAGAGCCATCGCTGCGTGTTCCTTTGCGTCAGCTAAGACAGAAGTCCTTGTAGCCCCGCCACTTCATAACTGCAAAAGATGTCGCATAGGAAGTAAACAAACCAGATCTCGGGGGCGGCCAGGCTGTGGCTTGCCTGAAGTGCAATAAAGACTTCAGGCCAGGCAAACAGCTGACTCTCAGCCAGAGAGACATGCAGATTGAGTGAAACCCCGTGCTGTGCACCCTCTTCTTGCGTGCCTTGCAAATAGAGGCTTTGCATGCACCAGCTTCTCACTCCCACTCTTTGCCTAAGAACCCCAAAAGGAAAAAATGAACATTCCCTACATTACCCTTATAAGGAAGAATACTACAGTACCCTTATAAGGTTTTTTTTTTTTTTGGGGGGGGGGGGGGGGTTCTTAAGCAAAGAGCAATCACTCGAGGTGCTTTGCCACGACAGCTGGGCAAGGTCGATCCACTTCCGCACAGGAAGCCCGGCTGCCTGCCGTCCGGGCATTCAGAGACACCAAATGAACTTCACCAACCCACGCTTCAAGCGCGCAGGAAAAAGACGCATGTAGGGTTTAGGGTTTAGGGTTTAGGGTTTGGGGTTTAGGGTTTAGAGTTAGGGTTTAGGGTTAGGGACCACACTCTGAGAACCAGCTGATCCTCTCGTTTAGGGTTTGGGGGCTTAGGGTTCAGGTTTTGTTGTTTAGGGTTTAGGGTTCCGAAGGGTGCCCAACGACTTTTTGTTGTTTTATCCGTTAGGGGATTGTTGCCTACAAACATACATGTACGCTACTTGGACGCTTGGGCTTGTACTTGTAGTTGATTGAGAAGCCTTGTCTCCACTGTGTGAGTGCACAGGTATGGGGTTCGGGTTTTGGGTTTAGGGGTTGATACTTGGAGGTTCATGGGTCGCTATCGGTAGCGTTACAA